TATGACTTGATGTATTCTGTTAAACTTACTGTGTCCGGTCCTTTCACTGAAAGTCTGACTTGGTGTGTTCTGTTAAACTTACCGTGTTCGGTCCTGACCCTGAAAGTATGACTTGATGTATTCTGTTAAACTTACCATGTCTGGTCCTGTCTCTGAAAGTATGACTTGGTTTGTTCTGTTAAACTTACCATGACTGGTCCTTTCCCTGAAAGTATGACTTGATGTGTCCTGTGAGGATCCTGTGAATTACATAAACTGATAACTACACAAAAATACAAGGACTGAGACCGCTGTAATATGGTCATCTATTCAAGAAAAAATATTCAAGTTCCTATAAAAAAATAATGGCCGTAAAATTAATACTTTCGCATAAATATATTCATTGTTTCTACGTCATACCATCACTGTATCACTGTACACTGGGTACTAAATAACAAATATACTGCAGTCAGTGAAAATAAAGTTGTTATTATTATGCTTTATATAGGAATTATTTCAATGTTGACTTTGAAGAAAATAAGTGTTTTTGCTTATTGGATTTATGTATCAGAAAAAGGTTATATCTATAAAATTCCATAGGAATATCAAAATATTAATTTCCACTTAAAATAAAACCCCATCTCGTTCCGTCTGCTACTTGTTTATGAATAGGTCCTCTATAAATAGGAATAAAGGAATGTAGTCCGGGGTTCTTTACCTGTGCTTCAGGCTTCGGAGTGGCTGGGTCGTTCTGGGTTTTCTTTTGGTTCTTCAGTTCAGCTAGTAGTCTAGTCAGAGCTTCTAGTGAATCTTGCAATAACATCACAAAGCAAATTAGATAAAAACAATCACAGCATCAATCCTTAAAGGCAATATTCGAAATCAAAATTTGCAGAAAAAACAAACCCAGAACCGAAATCAAAAGAAGAAGTAAAGCATTTGACATCCAGTATAATTAATTAGATAAACATTGCCAATACTACAAAGCAGATAGGAAGCTTCTTTATAACATAGGAGAAACCCGCCAGTATGCTTCCGTTAATTAAAAAAAATATACATGGAGATACATGTATGATAATGATGAAATTTGTACCATTCCTACAGTGTAGATTGTAGCCATATGGTAGACAACTCTGACTACGAAGTTTATAGGAACTAATGTCTCGAGAATTTCTGATGCTAATTTGTGAACCGCTTTGCGACGACCTAGTACCTAGGTTGTGATGAAGCGGTATATAAGAGCCTCGAATCATTATTGTTATTATTATGCTTTATATAGCTATAGGCTCTAAACTAAAAGATGCTTTTTAACTCAGTTTTATACATTATTATAACGACGAAATATAGAGTTTGGTTAAAAACTATCAAATGTTGTAAAAATAAATTAAAATACTTTGTATGATAATGGATTATTTATGATAATTTACTATGGAAAAAGGCAATACTATACTTACCATTATAAATATAAACTCACCATTCATACACAGTGACAGAAATGCAATTTATGATATGATATTAAATAAAAAGACGACTGGCATAGATATTGGTTTATATGGTGTGGTAAAAGTAAAACGGTTAAGGGGGAGACACTGACCGGGGAATAATACTGGGGGTTATGATGGAAGTTAGCAATACAAATCAAACATAAATTACTAAAGCATGAGGGATAAAGTGTTTAACAGGTAATAAGAAACCGATTGCAAAATCT